TGACCTTTCAATTAGTAGAAGAATGCTTAACTGCTTGGCCACAAGGACTCCATGACTTCACACTGATGTTTAATTACTTTCATTTCACCATAATTGGTTTTAATAGTGTGTGGTTTATTTATAACAGAAATCAATCTTAGATGAACTACTTGGATATGCAGATTTGACATTTGTCATGTCAATGGAATGAAGCATGAAATCTGAACTATAAAGTACATAATTCAATGAAAACATTTAAATACTCTTGTCAGTGATTATACTTATCATTTCATACTAGTTGAGTGTAAAATGTGCGTTTTGCCCAAGTGAGCAATTTTGTTTTATTTGGGAGATAAGGTAAATTTAGTATAATTTCATATTCAAAATAAAAATTCTCCTGAAAATATTGACTTCTGTTTTGTAGATGGATGAAGCTGGAATTACTGAATATGTAAAAGGAGACACCCGAAAGTTTGAGATCTGGAACAGCAGGAAGGAAGAAGTTTATATTATCCAGGTTGGCCATTTAAAATCTATACTAGAAGCAATAACCTGCTTTAAGATACAGAAGTCTAAATTTGCAAACAAGAATAATTTTGATCACACCACACACGTTCTCATCCCTTTCGTATGGGCCACTTAAATATCATCTGCATATTATTCTTTGTGATGTATTCAGACTTTGCTCTTAAGTGGTGTATGTATTCTTTAACTTGAGATGTGCCTAGAGTGCTTTCTAGGGCTTTTCATACTCACAACTACACTCATAGGTTTATCAGCTACAGCTGTCCCCATTGAGTTTCTAGAGTCGTTAACAGTTCTGAGGTCCTCTTGTGGGCAGCATTCAAAGGGTTCCCAGTTATCAGATATGGTTGTGACAGTTCAGATGTGATCCCTGTCTCTAAACGTGGTTACAGCCCTAGGCAGCTCTGCTGTCAGAGCCAGCCTGGTTCGGGAAAGGGGAGAGAGATCAGAACACTTCAGGTGATACAGTCATTTCACGAAATATTTGCATCATGACTTGTGACAACTCAATGTACTGTTGTCTGTTTAAAATGCTCAGTATTTCCTTTGTTTGTTTAATTCTGTTCTTGGTGGCTACAATTCATAAAAATATGTTCTCACGATTTGGTTTAGGTATAATATTTCTGGGAGAATATTTTAGGGAGCTGTCACTCTAGCAAGGAGCTCTGGTGGCATGGTGTTTAAAGCATTCACCTGCTAACCAAAAGGTTGGCAGTTTGAACCCACCAGCTGCTCTGTGGGAGAAAGATGAGGCAATGTGTTTCTGTAAAGAATAACAGCCTTGGGAACCCTATGCAGCAATTCTATTCTATCCTATATGGTTGCCATGAATCAGAACCGACTCAATGGCAATGAGATTGGTTTGGTTTTTTCATTGTATCATCTATAACTAAAATTATTCTGTAATAGCTTTTCAAAAACTGTAGAGCTTATATTATTTTACCAAAATTAAACATAAAAATATTTACACTTCTAAACGAACCCTCCTGCAAAGAAAAAAAAAACAGTGAAATTATATATTACATGTTCTCTGTATTATTATTCCATTACTTATTATTCCATTATTTAAGGGCCAGTTCAAAATGTTTTTGACTGTATTTCATCTAATCTAATTCCTTGCTTCTTAGAAATTTTGAGTCAAAAGACTAGAATTTGAGTATGGGGTTATAGTGAGTGTATCATGTGTGATAGGCTCATTGACAGTTGTGGCAGTTCAGATGTGATCCCTGTCTCTAAATGTGGTTACAGCCCTAGGCAGCTCTTAAAGCATACTCTTAAAAAGCATCGCCTCCCTTTTTATTTATTTAGGCTCCAAATACAGATGTGAAGATGTCATGGTTAAAAGAAATAAGAGCTATTTTGTTGAAGCAACAGGAACTTATGGCAGGTAAATTCAGGCATGTACTATTCAGGATAAGTAGTACAGTAACAGCTCTGGCTCATATTTGGTGGTAATGTTTACAGGGAATGGAGCTAATATTTATAGGCAGTCCCCAGGTTGTGAACAAGATCCATTTTTGGCTGTGTCTTTAAGTCTTTAAATGGAATTTGTAAATGAGTCAGACCAGGTGCTATTATATTTTAACCAGGTGTTATTTAGCCTTACTTTACTGCAAGAAAAGGCTCAAAGCCTTTTCAATGATCTAAAAACTTTATTTGCAACAAGTGAAGGTGATTGTGGTAAAGAATTTATTACAAGTAAGGGTTGATTCAATCATTTCAAATTTACATAATATTAAAGGGCAAGTAGGAATTATCTGTAAGTTTGTAACCTGGGGACTGTTTGTACTTTATATATTTATAATGATGAAAGGCTTTGTTAAACAAATTAGTAGTGAGAGCAAGATTTGGGAGGTTGTTTAAATGGTTTTGGAGAATAAACTTTACATTAGAAAATGATTTCTCATGCTGGAGAAGCAGTTGAGAAGCAATGTAGCCAACTGACTATGTTAATTCCAAGTCCTTCTTATGTGGCAACTCTGCTTAAGGTCTCCAGTAATCATGGCTTAGTAGTCCAACTTCTAGTTCTAAACTTGAATTTCTGGACTAAAATATTACATGGTTCTGACCACTCTCAAACTCCAAATTCAAACTAGCCTTCTCTCTGGTTATTTTGGACAGGGAAGGTTACCTTAATGGGAATGCTGGTGGTGGTGGTGGGTGTGTAAGTCACTGGCCTTCAAAGAAGTAACAAGAATGGCTTCTGAAGGATGCTTAACTAAGCTTCATTGTATTTCACAGTTAAAAAAAGAGACCAGCGGAATCCGGTACCAGGCGAGGATCAGCTTTCTCATCAGCAGAATGATGAGTAAGTGATTTCTCTCTAAGAAATATCATTCCTCAATCTTCTGTTTTCCATATATAACATGAAACAACGTGATTGAAGTATTTCTGACAAACACCACCCACCATTTTAGCAATAAAACTCTATAAACGTGTCATTTTCTTAGTTCTAGCCTTATACTTGGAGGCTGGTAGTCCCTAACGGTTATCTGTTGCTTACCCAATAGCTTGAGCTGGTTTTTAAACAAGATTGGTTCTCAGAATATCCTGGCCATGAGTTGCATGTGAAGTAAAGGTGGCTGCAATCAGGGCTTTCTCTTCTAAGCACTTTTGGTCACTTTCCATCTGACTGGAGAAGAATTGTGTGAATATTGGGACAGAGCAGATGAAGGACTGGCAATGCTACTGGCTCAGTGCTCAGAGCCTGGTGCCCCCTTGATGGAAACCTATTGCTGGGGATTTGGCCTTTCTTTCTGCATCGCTACTGTGGGGGTGATAATCCTGGGAGGAACTGTCCCTGGTCACAAAGATGAACTCCTGGAGGAAGGTGGCAGTCCTTCAGAACAGCTTTTCTGCTGGTTTAGAGCTGTGGTGTTTATATTCTCCCTCTGTTGTTAGCTGCTGTTGAGTTGACTCTGACCCACAGTGACCCCATGCACTACAGGATGAAACTCTGCGCGGTCCTGCCCGCCCCCGTGCTCTGTGGTGTATTGGGGGCTTTTGCAAATTCTTTGGCGGATTTTCAGAAGGAGATTGCGAGGCCTTTCTTCTTGGCCTAGAAGCTCCACCGAAACCTGCTTAGGATCATGGTAACGCTGATGCGTCCACTGGCACTGATGTGTGGCTACACGTCAGCTGCATTGGCCAGGAGGAACCCAGATCTCCCACGTGGACCATAACAATTCTACTAGTTATTATGATGATGATGGTTTTACTTTGGCAGTGTCCCTTCCCCTCCCACTCCTGATAACCAGCAAAGAACAATTCTACTATTGAACGACCAGCGTCCACTCCATTTTGCCACTAGGGATTCTAAAAGGTGAAGTTTCCATACAACACGTATATGCAGAAAGAATGCCCACACTGATTCTAAAGTCTTGGCACACAAA